TATTTATTTATTTATTTTGAGGTCACGGTGGTACACACCTAGTAGCACTTCATAGTTTTACAAGCTTGAAGCCAACCTGGGCTACAGATCAAAAACCTGTCTCAATCAACAAAAACAATTATTGGGCCCTAGGTTTAATCTACAGCACAGCAAATACATGCATATATATGTGTGTATACAGGCATATCTCTATAGACATATGTAGATATGCTACTATATGTAGATGACTATGAATATTTCTAGCACGAAAGTGATAGAAAATTTCTTTTTCCCCATCTTCCCCACTTCTGGCCCCCTCTTTGAGTCTTTCTGTATAGCCCTGGCTGTCCTGGACCTTACTATATAGACTAGACTTGAATTCACAGATCCACCTGCCTCTGCCTCCTAAATGCTGGGATTAATGGTGTGCACCACCACTCCTGGCATGACATAAGATTTTCAATCCTATATCCTTTTTAAAAAGACAGGCAACATTCCTCAAGTATATCTAAGGCCAGAATCCACCTCCACCGGCACAGTGCCCTTACCTCTTCCCACTGTACACCAAAGCCTTCAGGAATGCCCCTAACTCCCCAAAGGCTAGGCAGGATCAGAGTTAAAGAAAATGGCAGGAAGTACAAGGGGAAACTAAGAAAGACGCCCCTATAATGGGAACTGTCGTCCACCCCTGCCAGAACATACCTATGCTAAAAGGAACAAATTACATCCTTAGCAAAGCTACTGTAGTTGAAGGCTAATAAACACAGTCAGCCTTCACAGCTCTGCAATGGACATCAAAGGATTTCTTTTATAGCAGTGGCGGCCAAGTCCAAGGGTTAAAGGCACACTCCAGGTCATGGCTTACTTTGCAGGATCCATATTCCAAACTGCTGCTTTCTGGAATACACCATGCATTTTCTCATCTTCAAAACATAGTTCATGCAGTAATCTTACCTGGAAAACCTCTGCAAAATAGTTTTCTAGGACTGCCACTCATACTCCTGAAGCCGGTTCCAAGCCTGCCAGTCAGACCTGACCACTCCACCCCTGTTTCTAAAGCCCTTTACCCAGCCTCTGGCTGCAGATGGGAAAGATCATTTACACATGTCCTGTGCTACTGCACAGGACCCGGAGGACGTAGTCATAGACTCATTTGTCTCTTCAACTTATCGTTATGTCTTATTATACAGAAACACCACAGATCACTAAATAGAGGGCCATACCTCCCAGAAAAACTAAGTCATATATTTGTACATAAAGCATACACAAAACATTCCAAACCAGCCAAATGCTGCCCACCTCTTTGGAGCCTGGAACACCGCTGTGATCCTTCTCCATTATCAGCCATCTGAGCACATTTGGGACAGAGATGCTTTTCCATGTTGGCCACGGGTTAACAAATCTCCCGTCTTTTCCTTTCTTCGATTTAGTTACATCCTCCTCTAGTCTGTAATCCAGCTTGAAGCTTTTCCTGGAGAACCTAGAAGACACACTTCCTCCCGAATTCTGCACTGAGTTCTGGCGCTTCCTCAGTGTTTCTTTTGGATACTGATAGCTTGGCGCTGGAGACTGGCTGTCCTCATTTTCATCCATGTCCTTAGGTGAGAAGCTTTGAAAAGAAAAAGACAAAAAGGAAAGGGGAGATTACCAAGTTTAACAAAATCATCAAAGCTTATTAGACAGCATCATTCTCAGCCGACAGTATTTCCCCAGCCATAGAAGAGTATCATGTCTGTACTGATTCAGAATTTCTTGCTGCACAACAGAATTTTAAGATCCAGTATTACTCCTTGCTAGGAAAAAAAAAAAAAAAGATGTTTGCCTTCCCTTTCAACATGTCAGCCAAGCCTTTCAAAAATCCCTTCACTGATGCAACCTAAAACATTATTTCCCTAGCCAGCATTCAGACATAAAATTGTCTGTTTCCATGACATTCTACAGAGTAAACAGAAGTACTATTATGATCTGGATAGAAAGCACCCCCTCCAACCCCCAAAAAAGGCTCGTGTGTTAAAGGCTTGGTTCCCAACAGAGTTGTTTTCAGGGGTGGAACTTGTGTGAAGTGACTAGATCATGGGGGCTCTGCCTTCATCAATGAAGTGATCCATGGATGGATCCAAGATCTCAATCGACCATTGGGAGCTGACCATTGGGCACTATGAAAGCTGGGGCCTGCTGGGACTGAGTAAGAAGAGATGTATACAGGAAAAGATAGCATGCTCCGGCCTCTCCCTAGCATCCTCCTCTGTTCCAACATGCCCTTCAGCCATGGTGTCAGCCTCCCCACAGGCCCAGAAACATGAAACCCTCTACCATGGACCAAAACCTCTGTGAATCACAACAAATACTTCCTCTTTTTAAATTGCTTCCCTCAGGCCTATGGCACAGAAAAACAAAAACAAGAAGCAACAAGGGCCCCACGACCAATGGTCTTAACAATAAAGTAAGACTGGCTTAGTTTCCTCAAGATGCCCCAGTGATTCAAGTGACTCACACTCACCCTGCTAGGCTTGGTCATTTTACACTAACAACAATCTGTAACCTATTCCCCTAGAGAATACAGATGAGTTCAACTGCTGAGGGAGGAGACAACACATCAACTAACCTAGCAACAACATAAATTCTAAGTAATTCAGACTTAAAACTGGCAAGACACTAAAGTTTCCTCTCTCTGAATAAATGTTCCACCTTTTCTTCATCTTAATTTTCCCAACTATAAAATAAAGATTAGGACATCATTAGCTCCAGAGATTACTGAGAAGACTGAATGGTCTAAGCCAATAAAATCACTGGAGACTCAGGCACACACCAGCTCAGCCTCAGCTGCTACCACTGACTGTACTACACCTACCGCTACCCACACTCAAGACACTGAAATCCCTGATTGTGAATCATGCAGGACCAAAGACACCCAGAACTGGAAAATAATACATTAAAAGTACAAAGTTACATGCTATGTAGAACTTCATTTCCATCCTATTGATTATATTAAGCAAACAAACACTTGCTTTCTAATTGGTTTAGAATCAACACATACATAATTACACACCATATAGCCATATTAAAAAAGGAAAAATGGTATTTTCCTGACTAAGGGGTGATGAAATACAAAGATGTCCGAGATAGAAAGAAAAAGAACGCAAACCCCAGGAGCAACATGTACATGCCCCCGATTTTCTTTCTGTAATATGAGGGTAAATACTCAGCCATCTGGAGAATAACCACTGGAGAAAAGAAACCAGGACTAACAAAAGCCCAAACACACACTGTTGCTCAGACACTACCCTCTAGGGGAGTGCCTGGCAGCTGAGAGAGGGGTTCACAAGCATCATATCTTAGGCAAACAGCCTTTCTAATCCTCCTTCTTCTCACCTACCTACCCTGTGGAGGTTTCAAAGGATTAGGTGATATAATGGACATTAAATGTACACACCCAAATGCTAATCCTTTTCTCTCTAACCAGGCTAACTGACCAAACATCTAAACCCTCTACGTTCTAAAGCTTAAAGTGTTCTAGGTGAGGTGCCTCCATTCTCACAGACTCACTTTTATGTCTTAAAATTTAAGTCTAGACTTTACAAAGGCAAAAACAGGGACTATGCATTACAACTCAGTTCATGTTACCAGATGAGACTTAAGAGTTTAGATAGCTTACATTACTATATAAACAGATAACACATCTCACAGGAAGAGCTACGTCAAAGTTAGGTTTGGGAAACAATACTTAGCAGTCTCATGAAGACTAGAAAGGCTTGTTTCAGAATCGGAGGCCACCCTTTGCACCTGGACTGCCACATCAGGAAGGTTTGCTACGCTGTGGGCAACTGCAGAACACTGAAGATGCTTAAAGGAGGTTCTGCAGGAAAGACAACTCTGAAAACAGGGTAAAATAAGAAGTAAAAGAAAGGTCTAGAAAGCCAAACCAGGGGACTGGGTGTGGTGGCGCCAACTTTGATCCCAGCATTTAGGAGGCAGAAACAAGTAGATCTCTGTGATTTCAAAGCCAGCCTAGCCTACATAACGAATTCCTAAACAGCCAGAGCTGCATAAGGGGAAGACTCTGTCTCAAACAAAAGCAAACAGAAACCAACCCTAGAGCTAAGGAGATGGAATACTGAGAGAAACCTGAACCACTGCGGAACAGAAAGCACCGACTACACGTTTCTCCATTTCATTTCAATTAAGGCTCCTGGGAAGCCCTGAAGTTAGGTATCATAATCTCCAGTTTGTAATTGAAGTCCTCACAAGCAGATAGTCCAATCAATAGAGAGTGAGACAACAGCAATGAGAAAAACAATCGTTATAGTAAATCCAAGAGTCAATGAAGACACTGGAATTGGAGAGATGAGAAAGCATTTGGATGGTTGAAAACTTTAAGGATAAGGTAATCAAGTGGAAGCACTCGACCAGGCGGCACCCCAGCAAGGCAGACTCTTGACCTGCTGGAACTGAAATATGGTTTGACATCACGGGGAAGCAAGACTCCAAGTACAAAACTCAATGCAGCCAAGAAAAATGGATATTCATGGGATCTAAGCTGCTATGAGGATGCTCAGAGTGACAGTGAGGGGACAGAGTGACGTCTGTCCCCAGACAGTGTGGTTTCCTGAGTTGCCTGCTCCTTTTCCTACCCCTGCCTCATTCCCTCCTGAGCCATCTATAGAATAGGTCTCTACACACCAAATGACCATCCTCCCTTCATACCTCCCGTGACTCCTCTACAAATGCACACACACACTCCAGAGATGGTCTACTATAAGCAAATCTCACACAAACAAAACAAAAGAGAGAGGCCCCAAGGGTTTCTCCTGCAAAAGTCAGCACAGTGGTTCAGAAAGGCTTAAGCTTCTGGCCCTGCGCAACTACCCAGCCTCCAAACAGCAACCCTTATCCTGTTCTCAGATGTGTTAGTTCCTACCTTGAGGCCACCAAATGCTTCTACAGGGATTTTACATATGATTTCTTAGCAGCCGTAGGATTGGGTGGGGGGGGAGCCACAGGTGGGCATGAAAACTAGTAGTCACAGGGTTATCTAGTACTTCCATGATGTCATGCAACGCTAAAGATGACCCGTGCATGCAATCTTTGCATGCGCGGAGAGAAAGAGCGGAGGAGAAGCCGGAGGAGAACTGAACCCAGACAACCTGGAAAGAAGGTTTTGGAGGCAAAGTCCTGAAAGGCCATTCAGTGGATGTGAAAAATGACAACCTGAGCCTAATGCCATGGAAACGCACAGAGCCTGCCTGACAGCTGAGTCACATGAGAGGGCTCTCACTCACCAACTGCTGCCTTCTGGTCGCTGTTAATGTCTATAGCAACAATCTCACAAAGGGCAACACTAGAGGAAATGACAGGAAAACTAGAAACAAGCTCTATGTACTAAAAACCTCTGCCTCTGAGCTTTTCAAACACAAATCTGTTACAAAAAGAGATGACAGTTCCATACGGTAACCACCAAGTACCCTGAAGATTAATTGCTTCTTTAATAGAAGAAGGACTCAGCCCCTCTAACCAAAAGGAGGTCTGAACCATGACACTGGGTGAAAACAAGCCAGCCAAGTACAAATATTTTACTTCAGTAACTGCATGCATGGGTAAAATGCTTTCTAAAAACAAGAATCCTCTATCTCAGAATTGTTTCATACATTTGACATTTAAGATGTGCCAGATCCCTAGAACTCAATGTACTGCTTTATCATGTGAGAAGTGAGAGAGAAAAATCACAACAGTGCAACGTATGTTTGGGGCATCAAGATTCACATAAATTAGGAAGCAGCAGATTAGAATTCCTACACCAGACATTTTATAGATATAGGGTGGCTGGTACACAATAATAGTGCTGACACTACATCCGGAAAATACCCAGGATTGTATTTTCAGATGACAGACTGAGTAAAGCCACACTTACAGTTTTGTATTTGTTCACCTTATCTTTATTGGAAGAGAAGGATCCTTTTACTACAATGCTATATAGCACAGGTTAAAAAAACAACAACATCACAGTTCTCTGAAATGTCTATAAAGGACTCCGAGAGAGTCAAAGGAATTATACCCATCCCTGAAATTCTAGAAGACTCCATAAAAGACACTTACAGACACGGAAAAAGGTACTGTGAGGGGAAATATGTCCGAGCCTGCGAACTATGCTATATAGCAAAAGAGGAATATTCTGTGTGAAGATCATTAATTAATTAATTTTATAAGATATTTTATCACATATATCTTATTTACTATTTAATATATATTAGAAGCAACAAGATTAATATATAATATATAACAGATATTAGATATCTGAATATATGCATGCATATATATATATATATATATATCACATATATCATGCATCTATACATCTGCCAAGCAGTGTCTTAACAAGAGATAAGAACCCAGGCTCCTTGCTTTAAACGTCAAGTCCTCTTTGCTGTACTAAAATGAACCATGAGTTAGTACTCTGAAGTGCCAAACACAAATTACCGTCTGTGGGACAGTGGACCTTGCCAGGAGACTAAGTAAGGTAGTGGGTCTGAGTCCCCAGAAACTCAGGTCCACACCTGAGACCAGGCAGCTCCCTTCCAGATTCCTGGCCTGGAACACATGACATACTTCCCA